AAAAATCCTCCTCTTACTTGTAAAATGTATGCGGGGAATATTCAGGCTTCAGCATCTTTTTTTATGTGTCAGTACGTGGGTCTAAGAAGCAACGGATTGGCGTGGATTAGGTCACAATTGCTGAATCGGGAGATGAAAATTAGCAAATCAGGTTCATGAAGCTTGGTGTCTCGGATCACCTACATTTTTTTCTACAAAAAGCTTTTAATGATGTGGGTTCATTTTAGTTCACATGGCAAATATATAAAGGCAGTATGAGAATGTAAGCACATATCCTTTAAAATTCACTAATTTCGTGGTCCGCTTGACCAATTAATATATTACAATTAATTAAGGTTTTTAGTTGAGATAAAAACGTCAATGGCACGAGCGGGATTCGAACCCACGATCTTTGGCTAGATACGCCGCTGCTCTACCACTTGAGCTATCGTGACCTCGATCCACTCGGACACCAACTTCCCATCTCAACCCCACCTTTTGAATTTTCCCTCCTTTTTGCCATTTTTCAAATGTCGTGTAATCGGATTGGATTCTCGACGACAAATGAAATGGCCACGGAGAGCTTTAGTGAAGTATACTTCATTTTAAATCATTAAATTCACTAATTTCGTGGTCCGCTTGACCAATTAATATATTACAATTAATTAAGGTTTTTAGTTGAGATAAAAAAGTCAATGGCACGAGCGGGATTCGAACCCACGATCTTCGGCTAGATACACCGCTGCTCTACCACTTGAGCTATCGTGTTTTCGATCCACTCGAGCACTAACCTCTCATCTCAGCTCCACCTTTTTGAATTTTCCCTCCTTTTTAGGTAGAGTAGCGGCTTATCGAGCCGAAGGCCGTGGGTTCGAATCCCGATCGTGACACTGACTTTTTTATCTCAACTAAAAACCTTAATTAATTGTAGTATATTAATTGGTCAAACGGACCACGAAATTAGTGAATTTAATGATTTAAAATGAAGTATACTTCACTAAAGCTCTGCGTGACCATTTCATTTGTCGTCGAGAATCCAATCCGATTACACGACATTTGAAAATGGCAAAAAGGAGGGAAAATTCAAAAGGTGGGATTGAGATGCGAAGTTAGTGTCCGAGTGGATCGAGGTCACGATAGCTCAAGTGGTAGAGCAACGGCGTATCAAGCCGTGGGTACGAATCCCGCTCGTGCCATTGACTTTTTTATCTCAACTAAAAACTTTAATTAATTGTAATCCTTTAAAATATTATAATTTAATATTCCGAAGAAAAGGAACAAAAGAAATAAATAGGTTAATTATTTTTTTGTTTAGCTAGTACATCTGATATCGAGGTTAATTTAATTAATTTTTTAAATAACTTTTTCATCGTATCGGCTTTTCATATTTTTCATTTCTTGTCATATTTTGTATTTTTTCCACAACGTAACTCACGTGTTCTGTCTCTCTTTCTCCATGAAACTCCCATTTTATTCTACCCAGTTGCCATTTTCTTGTTCTCTCTTATACGATTTGCCATCTTTCTTCCCATCTCCACATGGGCAAACATTACGTTGATGTTCTGAACTAATAAAGTTCATGGTTATTTATCGCGTTAAGGGTTTACTGCTGTGAAACAATATAAAGGCCCTCTGTTCGATAGTAAGCAGTCTCCCGTCGACCAATATCCGCTCTTTCCAATGAGTCGGAGTATTGTTCGTTCTTATTAAAAGAAGTTCCGACCCCCCCCCCGGCCTTTACAAGTCGAGTCGGGTTTTATTCGCAGTTGGAAACTTTGGAGGCTTAAATGTAGACGCACAGAACGTACAATGGATTTTCTGCTCGCTAGAAGTTTCAGACAGTATGACAAAGCACCGAGCCGCGTTCGCCTCTAAACCCCTCCCTCCTAATCAAGGTAAACATGATAAATATACCGAAAAAGGACAAAAACAAAAAAAATATCACGAGTGTTATTAATGTTTATTTCATTCTGCCATTCCAAGCAAGGGGATTAAAGATTTAGACCCCGCGACAGATGTGCTCCGCCCTCCTCCTGATGATGCCAGGGGGATGGCTTTTTTATCCGGCCATCACCTATTAATAAGCCTGTCACCTAGACTGAAAACCGGTGTCGTGTCATGGCATGCATAAATTTCAAAAAATTTCAAGTACTTGTATTCCGTTTTTTATAGCCGACAAGATTCGTCATCATTATATATTTAATTGTTTATTTTTGATGACTAAATTCAATGAAAACTGTCAAGTACGATATTCACACTTTTGTGTAATTTGGTCGTTAACGGTTATTTTGGACTGTCTTTCCTTGCTAGCTTGGTCTGTCAGAGGAATTTCTCCATTTCACCATTTTAAGTAGATGTGCTATTTGCCTTGGATTATTGAGTGAATGACCTCAAAAAGTCTGTACAATCAATATGTTTGGTTGGAGGAAACACCGAACTGGAGCTCTGGAATGACCTCTTTGACGTATGGTTTGAGATTGCGCTCGATGAATTTTTCATTCAACGTCCCAATATTTGCTGGAAGACTAATCGAATGATATTTTCAACCAAATAAGAATTTTTTCTACATTTTGAAGAAATCAGTTTCGCGATTTTCCAGGTCAAAGGACTTAAAAAGCACAGGGTACAGCGCAGCGTGTCAGGAAGTGTGGTTGAAGTAGGAATTCGGCTATTCGTTATATTTCATTTTTCAGTCTTACAGGGAGACGACCAAGTTGATGGATCACGGATTCGAACCAAACTTTTTTACTGATTCTACCCTCCAATAAAATATGAATAGGCTTTGGTTTCCAAAAAAAAATTTTAAGTGGAAATTTTCCGTTTTTAATATTTTTATTTCGCCGTTCTACTTGCTCGAATCGACTAAAAGAATCATTTCACCGCATCTTTACATAGCATAAATCGTTATTTAGCAATTTTAAAAAAATGTATTATTTTTGATATTTATTCACTAATGAATAGCATAAAAATAAAAATGTTCTACGAGTAGGACAGAAAATATTCCAATTCGGTATGATTTAAAAAAGAAAAATCAACCAAATTCTGTTTATTTTTTGAATATTTTAACAAACATCCTTTAAGCAAATTAGGTCAATTTTTTTTTGCGGAACCAGTGTCTATTCTCAAGACATGGCGGATACGTGTCCGATATTTTGAAGTGTAAGAGTAGCAAAAAAAATGTGACCCAAATTCGTGACCCACCAACCTGGTAGTTCCCTTGTTAGTAATAAATAAAGTTAATTTGTGTTTTATCAAATTGTCGTTAACTGTGGTTTTCCACTTTTTAAATCGTATGTTGTGTTTGTAAATAACTTTCGACGTCTAATCTTTAAATGAGTTAAAAGAATGATCGTTTAAAAGAAATTGTGTTGTGTCCTCAATGTAGGCATGGCCAATCAATAATATATTACATACAATGAGGAAAATACATCATATATTCGAAGGAGAAATTTACTCATAATTTTGTCGACGAAGTTGTTTATTTATAAGTGGATAAGCATTCTCAGATTATATGTACATTATCATTATTAAAATGAAATTAATTAAGGTTTTTAGTTGAGATAAAAAAGTCAATGTCAAGAGCGGGATTCGAACCCACGACCTTCGGCTAGTTACGCCGCTACTCTGCCACTTGAGCTATCGTGACTTCGATCCACTCGGACACCAACTTCTCACTGACACTGACTTTTTTATCTCAACCAATACCTGACGCTTGGATTTATTTGTTTATTTTCTATAATTAATAAGTATAAAGATTAATAGTTGAATTAAAACGTAAAGACAAAAGAATAATAATTTGTTGTGTACCTTCATTTTGTTACTAATCCTTTTACACTCTTTAGAATAAAAATAAAGAAAATCCTTTCAATTTCACCCTTTCCAGAGCCACCTTGTCCAGTGAGTTAATTGTTTTCTTGGATTTTTTTATGAAATAATAAATTTGCGTAAAAAATTAATTATTGGGCTGGTGCAGAAAATAATGCAGGTTTTGAAAAGGCAGCCAAAATTATTTTTAATCCATTTATGTTTAGTGGTCTATTGGCCAAATTACTTATTTAAATAAATTATTGTTTTTATTTAAGGTCTTGGTTGAGACGAAAAAGTTAGTGTCATGAGCGGGATTCGAACCCACGACCATCTCAACCCCACCTTTTGTATTTTCCCTCCTTTTTGCTATTATTCAAAAGTAAAGAAGATTCAAAAGGTGGGGTTGAGATGGGAAGTTAGTGTCCGAGTGGATCGAAGTCACGATAGCTCAAGTGGCAGAGTAGCGGCGTATCTAGCCGAAGGTCGTGGGTTCGAATCCCGCTCGTGACATTACTTTTTATCTCAACTAAAAACCTTAATTAATTGAAAGATATTAATTGGTCAACCGGACCACGAAAACTAGAGAATTAAAATGAAACTTTTGATAAAATTATTATAATTAATTTACATTCCAGACTTTTATTATTAATATATCAAACCACTTTCCATGAGCATGTGCTTCAAAATTGCTTAACCAAGATACTCCCATTATCTTATCTTGCCGAAACTAAAATAGGCTCATATAAGTTTATCGATTAAGTTAGCGTCTCGTTTTAACTAATATTCAAAGCGGCCTGTTTATAGAATCTATCGAATTGACGAGGCCACCTACTCCTTGAGGATTTAATTAACTTTCTCCTCCCCGCGGAGTTATACGTCGGAAAGGAAAGGTCATTGCGGTCTCGGGGAGAGGGTTGTCCACTATGTTTGAAGAGTGACTTAGAATGAGGGAAGTTCGTGGAGAGGGCGGTGAGACTTGGACAGTTACTGCTGACTTTACCCCTCGGCCAATGAGCCACACAAGGCCCGAAAACACACCCTCGACTAGTTACAGTCTCCAGTTACTAAAACTTTCGAAAGCACGGTACAACTTACGCAATTTCTTAAAGAAAAGTGGGTGTTTTTGTCCTTCACAGAAACTACTTTCGTTTCTTGTTCCTGTACGTAAGAATACAGTCATAGTATAAAAACAATATTTTATTGCTTCATTCCAGGTAAACCTCAGCTCCGTATGGCTCCTCCCAGAAGAAGGCTACCCGGTTTTCTACAGATATTTCAGAGACAGAATCACCTGGTATGAGGCAGACGCTGTATGCCAATTCCACCACGGGCAACTTATTACAGGTAAATAAAAACCTTCAAATCAGTTAATCTCTTTATTAAATCTTTTCTAAAAATTGATGTTCAATAAACACCATGAATTGTTAGAAAAAAGTTGATATTTCTTTACAACCCCCGTAGAAATTGCTACACAATTTAGCATTATGTTTTTTAATTCGTCGTCTTTCTACAGTTGTGGGTAGGAAAAAGTCAAAAATTTGAGTGAAAATCAAGCCTGGAACGGAACTAGTGGAATCGGAATTGGACAAGTTCTTGTACGAAAAGGATTACTTATTTATTGTACCTGGTGTTATTTAATTTGTCTTTAACTGGAAAATAACTGTCCTATTTTGGGGACGTTTTGGTTTTAAACAACAATAAATATGTAAATATAAACTTGAGATTACTGCTTGACTTTAAAAAACGGATATACTTAAAACGTTAGAAATATAATTATTCGGAGATCGTGAGATGCGGTCTGGTGTGAAGTAGGTTTTAGAAAAACCTTTTAAAGTGCCAACATTTCGATCTTTATTGAGATCAACTTCAGGGCCTGGGATTTACAAACATTGTTTAAATTTTACATATCGGCCTGATTATCCGAACCGACCCACGTTTTTTCCCATTGTCGGCTCCTTTCACCTAAAAGAAGCCGACTCCTCATATAAAAATGTCTTTCTACCCCAACTGGCACACTCAACACGACACACAAAAATGACACATATACTAGCATTGTATAAATATTTTTTTAATCTAAAATTTTCTAGAATTATATATATTCATTTTTAATCTAAAATTGTCTAGCATTGTATATATTCATTTCTTAATTAATCTCAAATTTTCTAGTATTGTATATATTCATTTTTAATCTAAAATTGTCTAGCATTTTGTATATTCATTTTTTAATCTAAAATTGTCTAGTATTGTATATATTCATTTTTTAATCTAAAATTTTCTAGCACTGTATAATTTTTTTTAATCTCAAATTTTCTAGCATTATATATATTCATGTTTAATCGAAAATTGTCTAGCATTGTGTATATTCATTTTTTAATCTAAAATTGTCTAGCATTGTATATATTCATTTTTTAATCTAAAATTTTCTAGCATTGTATATATTCAATTTTAATCTAAAATTTTCTAGCATTGTATATATTCATTTTTTAATCTAAAATTTTCTAGCATTGTATATATTTATTTTTTAATCTAAAATTTTCTAGCATTGTATACTTTTTTAATCTCAAATTTTCTAGCATTGTATAAATTAATATTTTTTTAATTTAAAATTTTTAGCATTGTGTAAATTAATTTTTTCACATTCTACATGTATTTGTAAAATGTAAACAATATTTATAGATCCCAGGCCCTGAAGATGATCTCAATAAAGATCGAAACGTTGGCACGGTAAAGAAAATATTTTTCTAAAACCTACGTCACACCAGACCGCATCTCACGATCTCCGAATAATCATTGACTAACGGTCACTAAACACTACACACTTAGAAATATACAAACACGACATATTCACGAAACTCATCAAGACCACGTTGGCTGAGCCCCATTTAGGACTAGGTGCTTCCAAAAAGGCCATGATTTTGGACACTGCGCCCAAACGGGCTATAATATTGCTTGCCCTCTCACTTCGCTCTTTCTCCTCTTCATTTTCTCAGTATAGGAAAATAAATTTCTTGATTGAATCGATGAAAAAAATCTTACGGGGATGTTCTATCCAACCATGGTTAAAAACAAAACGGTGTTTTGAGCATTTCCTGTAGCAATTATAATCCGATTCACATTCTGCTCGGAAAAATCACCCTACCTTTAGCGTTGTGCGTCGAATAGATCATTCCTATTTGAAATATAGAGGGATGTCCAGTGAATAATGAACGGCGAGGGGGAAATAACTGGGAAAAAGTTGATCGTTCGCAGCGGTTTAAAATACCTGATCCATTGAATCCAATTTAGTATATTGTTTCCCGAACTGCCGATGGAATTGCTTTGCCAGACGATTTATTGAGGGCGTAACAGACAAGAGGGCCTAAAGGCATATTGGTAAAAATTAGATCAGCCTCTCCCGGGACGCCGAGAGTTGATTAAAGGCTGATGGTTTACGGCTGTTCTGGGACGTGTAATGAAACATCTCTGCCGTGAGAAATTCAACAACTTGAGCCATCTGGCGATCAGATTTTGTTTAGTTTAGTTACAACAAGGAAGGGAATATTCAATTTTTAATTAATTGAAATTTTGAATGGAAATAGCTACTGCCCTACTTCGTACCTACTAATAATTTGCACTTTGTTTATATAATGAAACAATAAAAGTAACAACAGAGAGTCAAAATTCAATTATTTAATTAAAACCGATAATACGCTCAAAGACAAAAACGCCGGACACTCGTTTTGTTATATAACTATACTGAGAGGCAAATAAAGTGACCACCTTCTTTTTATTTTTTTATGTTTTTTTAAAGTTTTAATAAATACTTGTAATTGTTATCATTTTTACAGGCTATTTTCAAAGAAAAATATAAGATATAGATTTTTTTTAAAATAACTGAAAAATTAAACTGAGTAAAACAATTTTACCCAAAATTAATTTATCTTATCTTATCTTAATTTTCTTAATAATTTGTAACCGAAAAATCAATTATTTAGAAATTAAGCGTTGACTTTACACTGGTGAAAAACTGTCCTTTCAGAAATTAATTACACGCGTTTAAAGCTTATTAGTAGGGGCAACTTTTCTGTAAACGTGTAAATCTGTCAATATTTACAAGAAAAAATTACTTAAACTTTACACAACAACCTGGTAAATTCGTAGAAGTTTATGTTTTAACTGATTTTTTTAAATTCCAATTATTGAATCTTTATGTAAGGTATCGGTTAAAATGAAAAAATTAGTGCCACGAGCGGGATTCGAACCCGCTGCTCTACCACTTAAGTTATCGTGATTTCGATCCGCTCGGACACCAACTTCCCATCTCAACCTCACCTTTTGAATTTTCCCTCCTTTTTGCCATTTTTCAAATGTTGTGTAATCTATTTGATTCTCGGCGACAAATGAAATGGCCACGGAGAGCTATAGTGAAATATACTTAATTTTGCTTATTAAATTGATTAGGTTTCGTGGTCCGATTGACCAAATAAATTCTTTTCAATTAATTAATCTTTAATCTTTTTTATCTCAACCAATACTTACTTAAAGATTAATTAACTGAAAAGATTTTATTTGGTCAATCGAATTCACGACAGCACCAGAGGTCGAGCAGCGGCGTATTTAGATCGTGGGTTCGAATCCCGCTCCTGACACCGACTTTTTCATCTTAACCAATACCTTACTTAAAGATTAATTAATTGAAATCAGCCAAATAGGTTACCTATGCATCTCCTGTTGATTGGCTTAATTTATTAGTTGGATTGTAAAACCTGTTTTTATCACTGCATATGTAAATATATTTGAAAATTAACACGCAAACATTAATGGCAAAGAATATAAACTAAACAAATCCTCGTCCAGAAGCTAATACGATGATAGCACTCGTTCAAATAATAACAAAGTTTTTAGTTGAGATGAAAAAAGCTAATGGCACGAGCGGGATTCGAACCCACGACCTTCGGCTAAATACGCAGCTGCTCGTGCTTGAGCTATCGTGACTTCGATCCACTCGGACACCAACTTCCCATCTCAACCTACAACCGGTCGAATTTTCCCTCCTTTTTGCCATTTTTCAAATGTCCTGTAATCAGGATTCGATTCTCGGATATGAAGTGGCCACGGGGAGCTGTTAGTGAAGTTATACTTCGTTTTCTTATTAAATCCATTATATTTAGTAGTCTATTGACCAAATTACTTCTTTCAATTAATTAATTTTTATGTAAGGTACAGTGTGAAATGAAAAAGTCAGAAGACCTCAAGAGGATTTGGGGAAGAACATGAGAGGGATATATCCCCACGACAATTTCACTCCTGAGTAGCTATGGAGGTAACCATTTGGGCAGGCATTCTATGGAAGGTCGCACAAACTTGAACTTCATCGAGGATTCCCTAACAGCTGGGCGATACATTGAAGATGTGTTATCAGAAGAAGTTGTTCCTTATATGCCACTACGATACATACTCTCTCGGTCGTCAGAAGGCCTCAAACAAAACCTTGACTCATCCGAAAATAAGATTTTAGTACAATCTTGCTCTGACCAATTGATGTGATTTCTTGCGAAGCTGTTCTCGGCTTGTCAGAAGTTATAGACAAGTAGCAGGCCTTCTCGCATGTAATTCAGCTTCTGAAAGTCTTCAACTTACAGTGCATAAACTGACATCTACATTTATAATTTTTTGAAGTCGTTGCTTGATATCAACAGCGGTGGAATGTCGATTACGCAGTACGTCGAAACAATAAAACTTCTCCCTGAGATGTGACACGATGGCGACTTGATTCATGCCTTCTTGAGAAACATCTAGTATCTTGGTAGCGATGAAAGTCCCTTGGGAAACTTGTTCTGGGAATGTTAAGCTCCCTGGCCACATACGCTTGACTTGAGAGGAAATGAAAGGGTCTATCTAAGGGGCAATCGCTATAAATAATGCAAAAAAAGAAGAGAGAATTTCGTTTCAATAAGTTGGTAACTTTATTTATTTAGAAATCGTGAGATGCGGTCTGGTGTGATGTAGGTTTCAGAAAAACATTTTCTTTATCGTGCCAACGTTTCGATCTTTATTGAGATCATCTTCAGGGCTCAAAGTGTTTTTCTTCTGTGTAATTGTGCCATTCTTGCGTGTCGTGTCGAGAGTGCGTAGTAAGTTGGTAACATTGGAATTTGATAACTTCAATAGTGTTTGTTATATGAACGTGGTACAACAGATTAATCTTAATTTGCATGTTTCTATTTTATCAAACTGAACTAAGATTTTCAATTAGTTTTCCTCAATTTTTCATACTTTGACTTTAGACATTCTTTAGACATAAATTATTTAACTATTTAAGTTGTATTTCCAACAACAATAAAAGTGATGATAGTAAATTAATT